ATTCTGTCTGCGTGTGTTACAATTTTTTTTTTCAATAGGATTTCTAAAATCTTATTCGAATATATTTTAGAATAGGGTTATAAGAATTTGTTCGGTACATTATTGAAAAATATTTTTTAAGAATATTTATACTCGTACATTTATTAATTTAGTTAAACACTCCGACAATAAAAGTTTATAAATTAATAAAAACATTCACTCCTACCTAATTGACCGTCAACAATCGACCACCCTAGTCAGACGGTGGTTGTCAGTCTTCAGAATAGTGCACGATCGATTAGATCTAGTTAGTCGTGCGTTGATTTTTCTTTTCCAGTTAGATCCATCATGCATCTGACCGAAAAAGGCTAGATTTACGGTCAAGATATGACCATCATTAAGGACCACATATCTGGCTGTAGATTGGAAAAGGAAAGATCGGAGCATGATCGAACAAATCCAGTCAATCGTGTGGCATTTCGATGACTTCTGGGCTCTGGCCATCGCCTAACGGTGGTGGTCGACTGCCTATAAAAAGTTGGGTGGGTAGGGGTTTTTTTTTTTTAATTTTAAAATTTTTATTGAGAAATATAATTGTTAAGTGTTTTGAATTGTATATAATAAGAGTGGATTTTGAAGAATATTAAAACAAATACATTTTTTACTTTTTAAGATAGGATAATAGAATAAGATAGAGTGAGAATAACTAAACAAACAATGCCTTAATACTTAATTGTAATTGCATTTTTCCTATTGCAATTTTTTTTTTTTTGTGCGGGTACCCACGGGTATCACCCGATCCACTCGTGAAAATAATGGGCAGGCTAGATACGAGCAATATTCCTATAAGTCCTAAATACATTATCCCGTACCTATTGAAACTATCCGGGTACCCATGGGCATATTACCCGTTTTGCCAGGTCTAAATTTTATAGTATCCAGTGAAACTTTTCAAGATAATTCAGAAAAAGGGCCTTCTTTTCCATCGCCAAGCAACGACTAAACTTATCGACAGCTAAAAGTCCGCAAGCGTGATCTCCTAAAGCAGCTTACGAAACAAATTGGGGCCAAAAACATAATGCACAGATGCCAATTCTTCTCAATTGAAGGAGGCAATTCATTAACAGTAAAAGAAGAGCACACGTTCAGCCTGGCCTGGCCGGTAACTGAAGTTCACTAATTGATTGCATCCAACTTGACATGTTATTAAGTATTTTGATCTAGCAGTTTAACTTTTCAGGATTAATTAATGACCCTGCAACAAATAGTTACATCTCTATGCTAATACCCATTTCCCCATTTGGGGAAACAGGACTCCAATTCATTAATTCTAGCAAGCTGTCCGTAAAGCTACATTAATTAACGGGTAATGATAGTGTGATAGTTAATGGAGAATGTAACACTTACTACGTAGAACAGAAAGGTCGGCGGTGGTGACATTATGCACTTAGCTCGACGACAAGCGCTCCTTGATAACTGCATCATGGACAGCCTGGTTAAGCTATTGCCTAGGGGGCCCGGGATGCTTCTTGGGAGTCTGCATGACAGAGAGCTCTTTTACACAGTATACTTATAAACTAATATCTGTTTTATTAATAAAGATAGACATTCTTGTCAATGTAAAAGAAATCAGTACTAAATAACATTCGTCTCCTCTAATAGAATTTCGAAAGTTATCCTATTTATTCATTTAGAAAGATGACATCCAGATTTGAGTTTGTTGATGCACAATTTAGGCACCAACTAATTGACACGTGCGCAGCATTGATTAAACAAGGAACACACGTGAATATGGATTATGAATATGAAATAAATGTAATGAGAGCTTTTAGAGTGGTTCGGATGCTAAGGTAGCAAGTCCTACATCCACTAATTTGTATTGATATGGTGGGTCAGGTCGCTAAAGTGGACTGACTTACAAATGATTGAAAAGTAAATACAAAGCTTTTTAGAGAGAGAGAGAGAGAGAGAGTTTTTATGTCAAATGATCGAATCCCCCTAATGAAGGGGGTCTTCCTCTTCTTATACCCAGTTGAATACGTGTAATCATCATTAAATCCTTGGGTTGGTGTGAATGTCAGGACATAATCTGACTTTACGTCTCATTGCCCATTTCCCAAGCTGATTTCACGCGATTTGGAGCAGGGGAGCGGACACGTGGGAGCTCCAGGGTGCTTGGCAGGCCTGACGTGCGCTTACCGTTCTGACGGGAGCAGGCCACGTTTCGCCACGTGACTCCACGTCAGCCCTTGATTTCCCAGGCATAACAGAAGTCCTCTAGTTTTTAAGGTTTGAGGATCGAACCTTGGAAACTAAGTCATGCCGCGATTTGAGGTTCTAGTAGTTTCGACTTGAATGGAAGGAGCTTGGGACAGGACCTTTTGCGAACACGACCTCACACAATTCTTACCCAAACGACCTGACAATCATCATTTTAGCAACCTGGATTCGCCGAACGCTCTTTTCCATGCCTTGGAGAGATTCAATGAACTTGCATCCACGCTGTCAGACCCTCTGCACGCACTGCAGTGTCTGTCAGGTGCATTAAATGCGTTGTGTGCTGACCCGATGTCGTTTTGACAACCTTAACTGCACGACGCATATGAAATGACGACCCTCATCACGGCATTTAATGCGACGTGGGGCGCATTAAATGCGGGGAGAGAGAGAAGGCTATCGTTTCGTTTCCGAGAGGTAGTAAATGATCCTGCGGATCATGGTTCCCGTCAAATGGCCACATATCGGGCATTCTGAACCCCGGTGGGAGTGGAGCAGCCAGCATTTCGGGAGAGAAAGGGGATGCAGAGGCGACCTATGCCTGCTTGTTTTGCTGGTCCCTTAACCTGTCCAGAGCTCGCTGTAGCTCCTCAATTTGTGGTAACGGAGCCAATTGGGGGTTGCTTTCACCCATGCAAGTCCGGCCTTCACGATTATGGTTCAGGAGAGTCCAAAGGTCGGATTCCTCTTCGCCTCGGCCGGCATTTCTGGCCGCACTCGACACACGCTGGCTAGAGGCGTGTGAAGGCGATGGATTGTGTGGGGCGTTTTCACGACCCTCACGGTGGTACGAACCGTCCCGCGAGGTGTGGGGACCACCCGGATGATAACGATCAGGATTGTTCTGCTGGCGGCGATAGGAATCATCGCGTGCGACATTTTTGCTTGGGTTCGCCTGCGACGTAGCATGGGACAGCTCGGGATTCACTTTTTCTCCGAGTCTCAGCTTAGCCGGCACCCTGCTTGGGGCACGATTTGTGCTCGCTGGTCCCTGGGAGCCCGTAGGCTGACCTTTTGCCACTTGCTTACCCTTACGTCTACGTGCTGCAGTGCTCGCGGCACGGGCTATTGCCCTTTGCCGCTCTTTCGCGCGACCTGCAGGCGTCTTTGGCGGTTGCACCGCCCTAGCTGTTGTAGATGACATGCCTTGGTCCAAACGGTCCAACCTTTGGTTGACCGTCTGGAGAGTATTGTCGAACCTCTCCAGGTAGCTTCTGATGACGGGGTCGAGTTGTGAAGCTGCCGGGATATCCCCCACAGCATTTTGCGAAACTGGAAGTACCTTGGAGGGGACTTCTTCAGCGCGCTGATTAGTTTGCTTTGGCTCGGATTGGCGGGCCATTTGCTGCTGTAGGACCAGTAGGTCAAAGATTCTCCTGATGAAGGGTATACACTAAATCAGGCCCTCCTTCTAGCGCCAAACTGTTGATGCAAGATTTAGGCACCAACTAATTGACACGTGCGCAGCGTTGATTGGACAAGGAACACACGTGAATATGGATTATGAATATGAAATAAATGCAATGAGAGCTTTTAGAGTGGTTCAGATGCTAAGGTAGCAAGTCCTACATCCACTGATTTGTATTGATATGGTGGGTCAGGTCGCTAAAGCGGACTGACTTACAAATGATTGAAAAGTAAATACAAAGCTTTTTAGAGAGAGAGAGAGAGTTTTTCTGTCAAATGATCGAATCCCCCTAATGAAGAGGTCTTCCTCTTCTTATACCCAGTTGAATGCGTGTAATCATCATTAAATCCTTGGGTTGGTGTGAATGTCAGGACATAATCTAACTTTACGTCTCATTGCCCATTTCCCAAGCTGATTTCACGCGATTTGGAGTAGGGGAGCGAACATGTGGGAGCTTCAGGGCACTTGGCAGGCCTGACGTGCGCTTACCGTTCTGACGGGAGCAGGCCATATTTTATCACGTGACTTCACGTCAGCCTTTGATTTCCCAGGCATAACAGAGTTGATAAAAATTTTAAATCTTATTATTTGAGTTAGGTAAAAGACAAATGAGAGAGTAGAATAATACATAATTCTCGTTATTCTCTCAAGTCTTAATTCCACTTGAAGAGGTGAATAACGATGTTACAACTCACTCCTAAAATATGGAAAAGATATGATTTGATTTCATATATATGTTAATAACTTGTTATTGGGTCCCAAAAAATCTACCATAGATATTACACCACTCCATACTCCATAGTTGGATGTGGCAGGCGGTGGAATAATTGAACTTCATTTGATTTGTCTATATCTGATGTATATGTCAGAGAGGACATCCTTCAATTATGTCCTATGTATTAACACTTGGACACTATTGACTTCTTTCTTTATATTATTTTAATTTTAACATAAATATGGCTTCTCGAAATCTGAAGTGTTAATATATAAAGACAGCTAGGGTCTTGGAGATATGGAATCTCGCTAGCCCGCTAGCTAATTTTCCTCCCGCAATGCATAAGTTCACTTATCATTAGAAAGCTGAATCATTGCAAAGAGTTGTATTTCTTCACAATATCCTCACCTATAATAGGCTATTGGTCCATTGATCCAACCGTACCACATGCTATGCTCTTTAATGAACTCCATTATGTTCTGATATTCTTGTAATCTTCATTACTTAATGCCTTGAATACCATTAGTTTTCTTGCATGCATGTACTGAAAGCCATGTATAAATGTGGCTTCAAGCTTGGATCTTAGCCATAGCTACATGTAGCTGAAGAAGAGATATATCGATGAAGTTACAGTGTGAGGTTTGTGAGAAGGCAGAGGCAGAGGTGCTGTGTTGTGCAGATGAAGCTGTATTATGTCGACGATGCGATGAGAAGCTGCATGCAGCGAACAAGCTTTCCAGAAAACATCCGCGCGTCTCTCTCCTTAAACATCCACCTGCTTACTCCTCTCCCTCCTCTTCTCAGCTTCCTTTATGCGATATCTGCCAGGTAACTGCAGATTTAACTTGTTCTCAATTACTTTTGTTGTCAAACCTTCGCTCACTGTTAACATATCATGAATTTTCTATTAACCACCTAAAACAGTGGGGTTGAAGCTCATTCCTCCTGATTGGATCCCATTTTTTAGCATTGGAAATAAAAGGTACTCTTCATTTATTTCTAATGATGAAATCATGGGTTTAAAGAGGACACACTCTGAGTCTCACTATTTGAGATTGGCAAAAGACAAATTCGAATTCAATATATTGACAATGGATCTGGGTGTTAGTTTACAACGACTCTTTAATTGTATATTTGCAGCTAATTAAATAAGCATGATGCAGGAGAGGAACGGGTATTTCTTCTGCTTGGAGGACAGGGCAATACTCTGCAGAAACTGTGACATATCAATCCACAATACGGCAAGTTCCATTGTGTCTTCCCAGCAGCGGTTTCTCATTGGATTGGAGGCATCAAAGTTGCCCTTGAATCCACAACCACTGAAAATCCGGGTTTTAAGGAAGGAATTGATTACCAGAGGTTGACATTTTCAGGTGTTGAGGGTAGCTTGGGAGAAACTGCGGGCACATCAAGTGAAACTGATCATTTGGCGAGCGCAGCCTCAGCCTCAGCTTCAGCTTCATGGCCATTGGATGACATCCTTAGCACTAATGAGTTTTGCTACTATGACTTATCAGATATGGAGTCATCTAGAATTACTGACCCATGAAATTTCCTAATAATTAATTGTAGTAACTGACTTGAGTAATAAATTCTAATTTCTAGTAAGTTCGTTTATTTATTAACACATGAAAAGACTTCTTAAAGATCACCGAATAATATGTCTATTTGATATCAATTATGTAGATATTATTCACTTTCAATAGATTTCAGTAAGCATCTTTCCACCATAACACGTTTAGTTAATTTAGGAGGCGATTGGTTAGAGTTAAAGGAAGATTACTCGAATTATGTCGTCCTATATTTCTTGATTACCATGTTTAGTTGTAAAGTAATACAAGATTATGATAATCTTGCATTATTAATAATTGTTACTGTTGGTAATACTCTATTTTCTTAGATATTGTAAGATTATCAAAGTAATCTTATTTTTGTTATAATTCTATCCCTTATTAATAAAAATTTTGGATAATAATGTCTATATTTTAAAATAAATTTACATTAATATACCATTTCAATTTGACCCTTGTTTAATTAAATTTTTGAACAATAATACCCTTATATTTAAAACAATTTACAGACTACCACTGCCACCCACCCACCATAGTCGACAGTGGGCCAACCACCACTGATCGCCTCGAAAAGTCGTCAAAGTCTCTAAAAAAGACCGAGATTCAGTGGGAGGCTTTGATATGGTCGTTTCCTGCCATATTAGGCCATTAATGACCAGATCTATTCTGCCCGAAATAGATCTGGCCCTTAATGGCCAGGTCCATGGCCGTTAACGGCCATATCTCGTCCAAATTTAGTAGATAATGACTAAAGATCTAGTCGTTAACGGTCAAATTTAGCTTCAATATGGTCAGAAACGGCCATATCGAAGCCTCATGATCACAATAAGCTACTAATGTGACTTTCGGAGACTTTTGACGGTGATTTGCGATGGCAGCAGGGGTGGGGGTAATTTTATCATAAACTAAAGTTTTACATAAGTAGGGGTTACTAAATCTAAAACATGGGGGTTAAAAGAATTACTCAAAAATTAATAGGCCGAACGACTTGTGCATACCCAAGGTTTACCATAACGACAAGTTGATACCCAAAAGGTTTTAAAACGACAAATAGGTACCTTCCGTCATATTCAGTTAGTGATTTCTGTTTATTAATAGTGAAAAGACTAAAATGCCCTTGAAAGTTTGAATTTTAGTTTTTTATAAATTTAAAAATTTCTAAAAAACCCCCTAGGTTTACAAATTTAACTAAATACCCCAATATATAAAATTTTTGTAAAATAACAAAAACACCCCCGCCACCCGTAGTGCCAGATTCCGGCCACCACCACCGGAATCTGGACAGAAAGTTACGTTACGACACAGACCCATCGGATCTATGTCGTAACGTGTCGATCTTGCCTTTTTCAGCCAGATCTGGCCGTCGAAGCAGCAGCAAGATCTGGCCTTTTCCGGCCAGATCTACGACCAGATCTAGCCATCGACGCCGCAGATGGAGTTTTGCGGCGTCGACAGCCAGATCTAGCCGTAGATCTGGCCTTTTCCGGCCAGATCAGCCACGGATCTGGCCGGAAAAAGGCAGATCGACCCGTTACGACACAGATCCGACGGGTCTGTGTCGTAATGCAACTTTCCGGCCAGATTCCAACGGTGGTGGCCAGAATTTGGCACTGCGGGTGGTAGGGGTGTTTTTGTTATTTTACAAAAATTTTATATATTGGGTTATTTATTAAATTTGTAAACCTAGGGGGTTTTTTATAAATTTTTAAATTTATAAAAAACTAAAATTCAAACTTTTAAGGGTATTTTAGTCTTTTCACTATTAATAAACAGAAATCATTAACAGAACATGACGGAAGGTACCTATTTATCATTTTAAAACCTTTTAGGTACCAATTTATTGTTACGGTAAACCTTGGGTATGTATAAGTTGTTCTCCCAAATTAATAATAAAAATAATATGAAAATCAACAATGTAATGGGTCAACTTTTCATATCATATTGGATTACTAAAATCTTATTTTACCCTATAAATTATTGAAAATTTTAGAAAAATGTGTTTAAGGAATCTCAGTTGCTAGTTTTCTAATTAAAGTCCGGTACTGTACCCGAAAAATTCTGTAAGAACATGGCCGCTTCTTCTTCTGCACCTTCTAATGGTGAATGGAAGTATGATGTATTCCTCAGCTTTAGAGGTGAAGACACTCGCAATAATTTTACGAGCCATCTTTATGCCGCTTTGTCTCGGAGAAAAATCGAAACCTTCATAGATTATGAGCTTAGGAGAGGAGATGAAATCTCTCCTGCACTCTTAAAAGCAATCGAAGAGTCTAGCCTTTCGATAGTAATTCTCTCCAAAAACTATGCTTCTTCTTCTTGGTGTTTGGATGAACTTGAGAAGATAATTGAATGCAAGAACAAAAAGGGATAAATCATTGTACCAGTTTTTTTATCATGTTATTCCTTCTGATGTAAGGAAACAAACTGGGAGCTAGAAGAAGCATTTGCTAAACATGAAAAACAATTGAAGAAAACAAAAGAGAAGGCGAAAAGTTGGAGGGCAACTTTGACACAGGTGGCCAATCTATCCGGTTGGCATATACAGCAGCATGATGGGTAACTCTAATTAATTTTGTTCTCTCTTATTCTTGTATTTCTAGCCATGCTTACTTTGTTTTGGATTTTTACTTTACCATATTGAGGTCAACAGGACATCAAGATCTGATTTTTTATTCTGTCATTTCAATTTGATTGAGTTCAAGGATTGTGTCCTATGCATGCCAATAGTAAGATGGGTACAGCTTGAAGAGTTTTTCTGTATGCATGCAATTGGAAGAAAGTTTTGAATTGTAAATTTTTTCTAGTCATAATTGGGTTTTTGTGGTTGGAGTAATTTCTCTTACTCTGTAAACTTCTTGGTTACTTATGACCTTGTCGCGATTGTTACTGTCCGTTGCATATTTTGACTGAAATAATCTCTTGCTAAGTTCTTGTGTAGTAATACCGTCGATTTATATTTGTTATCAAGTAATTTGATGCTTTAGTAGTGTCAAGCAACCTGCAATATGGTTCTTTATCTCTTCACTTTTTGATTCCAAAGTGTTCTTCATATCTGGCAGATCAGAATCAGAACTTGTGGAAAACATTGTCAAAGAAGCTGAATCATATGTCCTCAAGTGATTTTGATAGCTTGATTGGAATTGAATCACGCTTAGAAAGAATTGAATCACTTTTATGTGTTGGTATGTTAAATGTTCGTATTGTTGGAATTTGGGGTATGGGTGGTATAGGTAAAACAACCATTGCATGAGCTTTGTTTGATCGTATCGCCAGTCAATTTGAAGGCTGCTGCTTTCTTACAAATGTAAGAGAAGAATCAGCTAAATATGGATTGAATCGTTTACAAGAAGAAGTTCTTTTCAAAATGCCAGAGGATGGAGATCCAACTACAAGTGCTCCTAGTTTAGGACTCACTTTCACAAAGAACAGACTTAGCCGTAAAAAGGTTCTTATTGTTCTAGATGATGTAGACAATTCACAGCAGTTAAAATTTTTAGCTGGAGAACATAGTTGGTTTGGTCATGGAAGTAGAATCATTATAACATCAAGAGATCAACAAGTGCTCAAGACATGTGTTGATGAAATGTATAAGCTTGAGGAATTAAATTATCACAAGTCTCTTCAACTCTTCAGTTTAAATGCCTTTAAGCAAAACCATCCTACAGAAAATTGTATGGAGCTGTCAAGGCGGGTGATATATTATGCTCAAGGCATTCCATTGGCTCTTAAAGTTTTGGGTTGCTTTCTATTTGGAAGGAGTAAGCGAGATTGGGAAAGTGCATTAAATAAAATTAAAAGTATCCGAACATGGACATCCAATATGCATTGAGAATAAATTATGATGGACTTGATGACGAAGAGAAAGAAATATTTCTTGATATTGCATGTTTCTTCAAAGGGAAGGATAAAGACCGTTTAACAACTATATTAGATGGTTGTGGCTTTTCCACAGAAATTGGAATAAGTGTTCTCATCGACAAGTGTCTCATAACTATTGTGAGCAATTTGTTACTAATGCATGATCTCATACAAGAGATGGGTTGGGATATTGTTCACCAAGAATCCAGAAAAGAGCCTGGCAAACGCAGCAGTTTGTGGGATCCTCAGGATATATTTAACTTATTCAAGAAAAATACAGTAAGAGCTGAATGCACTAAAGTCCTCCATGGTTATGCAATAGCTGCTTAATCACAGTATGATTTACATATACTATACTTTTTCTTCTCAAAATTTACCATGCTAAACCAATACTCTGTTTTGTTATCAGGGGACTCAATCGGTTGAAAGCATATTCCTTGACTTGTCAAAAGTAAGTGAGCTACACTTAAGTTCCGATGCCTTCACGAGGATGCATAAACTTAGGCTTCTTAAATTATATCGCTCCCACTATGGCAAAGGCGAAATAGAAGATGATAAGGTGCATCTTTGTCAAGGCCTTGAATTTCTTTCTGATGAGCTGAGATACCTCCATTGGCATAGATACCCTTTAAGATCCTTGCCATGTAAGTTTAACCGGGAGAACCTTGTTGAGCTTGACATGCATCACAACAATGTTGAATATCTTTGGAAGGAAAAACAGGTGAATATAATATTTATGTATGTTTCTTTGTTTCGGACATATTTTAGAATTTGTGGATGCTAATTCATTCAGCCATTTCTGTTTTGTTGCAGCATCTTATAAATTTAAGACGGATTGATCTCAGTTACTCTCAGCACTTAACGGAGATCCCTGACCTCACATTGGCTCCGAACCTTGAGGTTATTACTCTAGATGGTTGTTCGCATCTCACAAGTTTCTTGGGATTTCGTGGAACATAAAGAAGCTGGATTTAGGCCATACTGGAATTGAAATGGTTCCCTCGGCCATTGAGTGTCTTAATAACCCTGACTCTCTATCACTAATCAACTGCACCAGGCTAAAGAATCTTCTTAGGAGTATTCAGAATTTGACGACTCTTATGGACATTGATATCCGTGGTTGTTCAAACATCACTGAGTTCCCAGAGGTTTCAGGAGATATGAAGTATTTATATTTGAATGAGACTGTAATTCAAGAATTACCATCTTCAGTTGAGTGTCTTACTGAACTAAATACATTGAGTCTTGGAAATTGCACAAGCCTAGAAAGTGTTCCAAGTGGTGTTTTTAAGCTGAAATGTCTTGAAGTTCTTTATCTCTTTGGTTGTTCAAAATTGGAGAATTTACCTGAAATCTCGGAGTCTATGGAAAAGTTAGAGACTCTTGAGTTACAAGGAACCGCCATAAAAGAGTTACCTTACTCAATTGAACGTCTGACTCAGCTTTCTTTGTTGCACTTGGGGAACTGCAAAAACCTTACAAGTTTGCCAAATAACTTCTTTCAGTTAACGTCACTTTCATCTCTTGTTCTTTCTGGTTTGTCTAGTATCGAGAAATTGCTGGACAACTTGCCATTATCTCTATTTTCAGGTTTGTGCCCCTTAGTTGAATTAAATCTCAGTGACTGCAACCTGATAGAATTACCAAGTGCTTTCAGTTGCTTATCGTCCTTGAGAGTATTTAGATCTAACTGGAAACAATTTTGAGAGCCTGAGCCTCAAACCATTTTCTCGTCTTAAAAACTTTGATGTTAGCTATTGCAAGCGACTTCAATCTATACTAGAGTTTCCATCTCCAGTGCATCTGACAGATTTTCAGGCACATGATTGCTTATCACTCAAAACTATACCAAATTCAATGAATTTACCCTTTACAGCAGACTGGAATTCCCAGCAGAGTTTCACATTTTCCAATTGCTTCAATCTGACTGAAGATGCACAAAGAAATATTCTTGCTGATGCAGAACTTCAAACACAGGTTATGGCAACTAATGCACGAGAGACTGCATCAATGGAAGATTATTTGGAGGTACCTGTCTTTCACTCTTTGATGTTGAGTTCTAGAATTTTCTCTTGCCTTAAATGTTAAGACAAATATTTTCATGGTACAGTGGTATTGGCCAGGAGCTTCCGTCAGTATTTGTTTCCCTGGAAATGAAATTCCAGGGTGGTCAGCCATCAAAATGTGGGATCTTCAGTAACAATGGAACTCCCTCAACATTGGTCTAGCAGTAAGTTCTTAGGCTTCGCTCTGTGTGTTGTAGTTACATTCGACGACTACGATGATTACATGAATTTCAATGTCGAATGCAAATGCAAATTTGAAACCAATGATGGTGACAAGCATAACATTGATTGTGGTCTGAATGGCTTAAAAGCTCAATACAAATCCAGATCTGTTTCGTCTGATCATGTATTCCTGTTTTTCCATGAGCGATTGTATGCTATGCTAGTTCAAAGAGATGATCAGGACCATTTCTTCAGTATGTACCAGTCCTGCCATAAGGTTTTGTTTGAATTCTTGCCAGTAGATGACAACCAGTTGCCCCTACTGAATTGCGAGGTGAAGAAGTGTGGGGTCTGTGTACTGAGCTTGAAGGAGGAGGATGCAGAAATTTTTGACAGCTCCAACGTAGATGAACATGTTGAAAGTGGAAGTGATAGTAACTCCAATCATGAGGTACAAGAGGATCCAAACTCCCAAACATTGAAAGAAAAGGAAACCAATTTAGAGGCTAATGCCTTCTGGTTGGCTCAAGGCAGAGCCAAGCTATTATGTATGAACTTCTTGGTTGGAGTGGCTGTGGTTTTATTTCTGCGGTATTTCCTGGGCGTTGTAACTGTTAATGGTTTCATAAAGCTCTTGGTCTCTTTGCTGCAATAAGCCCTGCAGATGTTGGGGCTAATTAACTATAGGAGAAACATGTATCTATAATTTATTAAATTCTTCAGTATCTTATCTATGCAAGAAACACAGATTGGTTTAATTATGTGTCTTATGGATCTTATAATATGATATAACAAATGCAACTTCACTTAATTGGATATATGCAAATTCAGTTCGATATGAATACTCACAATTTATCTTAATAAATTTACCACTCCTTAATATAACAAACTTCTAAAATAAACTTCGGAAATCCCTTAAAAAACTTTACAAACCCTTTATACAAACTCTTTCTAAGTAAACACATAATATTAGCTTGCGATATGAGCAAAATTCGTTTTAGATGCCTACTACTACTAAATGTAATATATATGGTGCTCACTCACTATCCGCATGGTAGGTCTAAATTCTGGATTCTTATCTAAACATAAAAAAGCCACATACAAACTCTTTCTAAGTAAACACATAATATTAGCTTGCGATAAGAGCAAAATTCGTTTTAGATGCCTACTACTACTAAATCTAATATATATGGTGCTCACTCACTATCCGCATAGTAGGTCTAAATTCTGGATTCTTATCTAAGCATAAAATGGCCACCTCCAGGATACATTTCAGCTTGTCCTGAACTTCAAGCGATGGTGCTGGAAGCCTAGAGTCTAACACATCACTAAGCTGTATAGACATGCTGGGAGGCATATTAGATGAAAATAAGGAAAGAAAATCTCCTGGATGATTCCCTTTGATCACTTCCAATGTTAAAACTCCGAAGCTATACACATCGCACTTTTCAGTTATCTTACTTGTGTAAGCAAACTCTGCAAAATAAAAGATTTAAATATATCTAAGTGAGTGAATATCATTTCTAATTTTCTATAGTCCTCCCTTGCAGATGCCCACATTATGTTTAAAGACGAACATCAATAGTTGACATTGAAAATAATATTAGTTAGGATCAGCTAACAATTAGTTTGTACCAACTAATATTAAAAGACAAATCCCTGTTTGTTTAACTTTTCAAACTTTTTCTATTCTACTATCCTATCCTAAACTGTGAAAAACGTGTTTGTTTTAATATTGACTATCAATTCAAAATCCAATCCTATTCTATTCAACTCAAAACATATAACAATTACCTTTCACAATAAAAGTTTATAAATTAACAAAAACACCCCTACCCACCCAAGCCACAGTCGCCTGCCAGCAACCACCGTTGGCCGTTGGCGCCGAAACGACGCATGATTAGGGGATTTGGCCAATCATGCGCTGATTCAGACATTTTCGGCCAGATCCACCACATATATAGCAGGAAACAACCAAATATATGGCCAGAGATCTGGCCGTTGACGACCATATTTTACCAGATCTGGCCGTTGATGACAACCAGATTATAGCCGTAGATCTAGTCGTTTCTAGCCACATAAACGGTGGATTTAGCCAGAAAGGCCAAATCAATGCACGACCGGCCAGATTCAGTTGATCGTGTGCCATCTTGGTGACTATCGGTCACCGTTCAACAGTGGTGGCCAATTGTCGGCAGTCGGTTGGGTGGGTGGAGGTGTTTTTGTTAATTTATAAACTTTTATTGTTGGTAGGTGTTGTTGTTGTTAACGTTAGTTACTGTTAGGTGTTAGGTAGAGTTAGTTGTGGAGTTAGTTACAACTTGGGTTAATACTTGTATTAGTTACTAATCAGAGTTAGTGTTTGCTGAGTTAGTTCTGTAAGTATAAAACAATGTACAAATTACATTTGACTATCGAAGAGAATTACATTTTTCTTTCCCAAACTTCACTCTTCAACATGGTATCAGAGCAAGAGTTTTCTTGCGAATTTTTCTAAAATTGGTTCGATTGAACCTTCAATCTCTTTGGGTTCAGCTCGAAAGAAGTTTAAGATTCATTGTTTTCTTCAGCTTGAGCTCAAAGCTTTAGAAGTTCGGTTCAATCGACTATGGCAGAAGAATCAATTTTCTTTTCGATTGATTCGAATTTGCCCCTCTATGTCCATCCATCTAATACGCCAGGATCAGTTCTTATGTCAGAACAGCTTGTAGGAATAGAAAATTACGACATGTGGAGCAGAGCCATGACTCTCTTTATGTGCCAAGAACAAGCTGGGTTTCGTTAATGGAACCTGTGCAAAGTCTTCTATGCATCCTCATTTAGTTCCACAATGGGAAACATGCAACTCTTTGGTTCTCGCCTAGATTTTCAATTCGGTCTCGAAGGAAATTTTTAACGGCATTGTATACTCAACCAATGCCTTACAAGTATGGCAAGATTTGAAAGAGAAGTATCATAAGGTGAAAGGGACTAGGGTTTTTGGTATCCATCGAGAGATTGTGAATCTTACACAGGGAACCAATACAGTGGCAATCTACTTTAACAAACTTAAGTCACTATGGGATGAGTTGGATTCCCTGATAAGACTTCCTGCTCTAGATAGTGCTTCTACAAAAGCTTATCTCGAGCATCTTAATCAACAAAAATTACTACAATTTTTGATAGGTCTAAATGATTCATACTCTATGGTCAAAAGCCAAATTCTGCTAATGAATTCCTTGCTAAATGTGAAACAACCATATTCAGTGGTGAATCAAGACGAAAGCCAAAAGATTTTAGCTGGTTTGAATGCTAATACAAATGTCACTACGGCCTTTTATGCTCAAAATGGAAGACTCAGAATCCAAGACAGAGGTATAAGGGAAAGAAGCCCTATATCAAATGTGACTATTGTCACTTACCTGGTCATAAACGTGAGAATTGTTAGAAATTGAATGGGTATAGAATCCAAGACAGAGGTATAAGGAAAGAAGCCCTATATCGAATGTGACTGCTGTCACTTACCTAGTCATAAAAGTGAGAATTGTTACAAATTGAATGGGTATCCAGCTGATTACCAATTTATAAAAGGAAAGGGAAACTCCAAAACCAAATTTTCTGCTAATCAGGTGCAAGCACAAGATACAGTTATAGAAAAGCCTACTAATGTCTCAGTTGGTCCTATTTTTACATCAGAGCAATACAACCAAATTCTGGAGCTGCTGGGAAAAGAAAATGTTACCTCCACAAATCACACTTCCGCAAATCAATCTGCTGCAAATCTTGTAGGTATCTTTAACAGTACATATGATGTTTCATTCTCTTATTTAGATAAAAATGCTTGGATCATAGACATTGGGGCCACTAACCATATGACCTGTGACTTTTCTATTTTGCAATCTCTTGTTGCCATAAAACCTTCTTCAAAATCCATTGTAAGGTTACCTGATGGTTCCAAGACTCACATTGCACATGCAGGTTCTGCAATTTTGGACAATGGCATGCGTGTCTCAAAAGTTTTACATATACCAACTTTCAGACACAATTTACTTTCAGTCTCCAAATTTACAATTTCTAACAATTGTACCATCAATTTTTACCCTGATTTCTGTCTAATCCAGGATCTTTACAGTGGCAAATTGAAAGGGATTGGTAAGCATAGTCAAGGCTTATATATTCTTGATCCAAATCCACAAAAATCCACATTGTCGAAAGTAGATGTTTCAAATAAAGTTGTTTGCAATATTTCCAAAGGTCTTTGTTCAAACAACAATGTACCATTTCAATTTCAGTCTAATAAAGATTCTGATTTTCCCAATACTTTTCAGGCTGCTAATGTTTATATCAATGCTGAATCATGGCATTGAAGATTAGGACATGTTCCTTATACAATATTACAACACATGCATAAAAATTTTGATGTGTCTAATCCCCCTCATTGCAATGTTTGTCCATTAGCTAAGCAAACCAGGGTTCATTTTCATCATAGTAACTCAGTCTCTAGTTGCATTTTGACTTGCTACATGTAGATGTTTGGGGTCCATATAAGATCCCAACAAATGGAAATGCTAGATATTTCCTTACTTTAGTTGATGATTATTCAAGAGTGACTTGGTTATTTTTTTATGCAATATAAATATGAGGTTTTCATTACCATTCAAAACTTCATTCAAATGGTGCAAACTTAGTATCATTATACCTTGAAATGCATTAGAAGTGACAATGGGCTTGAATTTTTTAATAAATAGTGTCATGCTTAGTTTCTTAGTAAAGGGATTGTCCATCAAAGTTCATGTGCATATTCGCTTTAACAAAATGGAGTTGTTGAGAAGAAGCATAGACACATCATTGCAGTAGCTAGAGCCTTAAAGTTCCAGTCTAATATGCCAAGTTAGTTTTGGGGATATTGTGTGCAAACATCTATTTACCTTATTAACATGTTTCCCTATTCTATTCTCAAAGGTTTATCACCTTTTGGAAAAAAATTTGGTCATTCTCCTTCATTGGATCACATAAGAGTTTTTGGCTGCTTGGCTTATGCTACCATTCTTACCCGGTCACCTAGATCACCTCCTTGTGTGTTTTTGGGATATTCTTTGACCCAAAAGGGCTAGTTCCTTTATAACTTCTTCACATAGAGTTTTGGTCACTAGAGATGTAATTTTTCATGAAACTATATTTCCTTTCACTTGGCCTAAGTCTCCACAATCACTTTTTCCCATTGATACAGACTTTCTTGACATTGAATTACCTTCCATACCTGCTGTACCTTTATCAACTGAGTCACTGCTTGATGTTCAGAATGCAGAACCTACATCACCTCACTCTGCTTCCTCGCATGATTCCCTACCTAATTCCTCTACTCTTCAGCAGATTACATCCCTTAGAAAATCCAGTAGACTTACACGGCCACCTATTTGGACAACAGACTTTGTTTGTCCATCACTCAATCCTTCCAATTCAGCCAATTGCATTCTCTATCCTATCTCTAATTTTGTCTCTTATGCTCATATTACACCTACATACAAGGCCTACTTATCTCATCTCAATCTAGTTGAACCTTCTTCTTTCCATTTAGCCTTTCAAGATCCAAATTGGGTGGCTGCAATGCAAAATGAGATCCAAGCCTTAGAATTCAATAAAACCTGGTCCTTGGTCCCTCTACCCCCAATAAAACTCCAATCGGTTGTAAATGGGTTATAAACTCAAGTATAATGCTGATGGGTCCTTAGAACGATATAAGGTTGGGTTGGTGGCCAAGACTTACACTCAAAAGGCTGGTATAGATTATACATAATTATTTTCTCCTATTGTCAAGATGGTCACCATCTGGACCATTTTATCTCTTGCTTCTATGTACAATTGGCCCCTTTACCAAATGGATGTTGATAATGCTTTCTTACAAGGAGATCTACAAGAGGAGATTTATATGACTTTGCCTCAAGGTTTTGCAAAGCAGGGGGGTAGAATGTTGTTTGCAAGTTACACAAGTCACTTTACAGTCTTAAACAGGCTTCTAGAGCTCGGAATTACAAGCTCACCCAAGCCTTAATTGATGGAGGATTTGCTCAATCTAAGGCTGACTATTCTTTATTCATTAAGAAGATGGATTCCCACATTGTGTTGGTCCTAGTCTAAGTGGATGACATTGTCATTATAAGAGACATCATTGACATGATCAACTACACCAAACAGCTTCTACATTCTAATTTTAAACTCAAGGACTTGGGAGTACTAAAATATTTCTTGGGTTTGGAGGTAGCTAGATCCTTTAGAGGGATCAATTTATGTCAAAGAAAATACGCTTTGGAGCTTATATCAGAATCACGTTTGTCAGCTTCTAAGCCCTCTGCAGTTCCTATGGAATCAACTTTAAAGCTTACATTGGTTGCTTATGATGAACTTTTCCCTGCTGGTCATGATCCACTTCTTCCTGATCCCAGCATTTATCAAAGATTGGTAGGCAAGTTGTTATACTTATGCATGACTAGACCTGACTTAAGTTTCCCTGTCAATCTCTTAAGTTAGTTTATGCATAGCCCCAAGCAATCCCATTTGAATGCAGCTCTTAAAGTAGTGAAATACATTAAAACAGCTCCAGGCCTTGGTCTATTTTTTTTTCCAACTGATAATCATATGAGTTTAGTAGTTTTTTGTGACTTTGATTAGGCATCCTGTCTCATGACAAGGAAATCTGTAACTGGATATTGCATCTTTCTCGGTAAGTCTTTAATATCATGGAAATCTAAAAGGCAGGCCACTGTTTCTAGGTCTTCTTCAGGGGCAAAGTATAGGGTCATGGCTTGTACGGTCTGTGAGATACTTTGGTTGATTTAGCTTTTTCAGGAACTTGGTTTTACTAATTTAGTTCCTGTGCTTCTTCATTGTGACAACCAGGCTGCCAATCACATTGCATCCAATTCTATTTTTCATGAAAAGACTAAACACATTGACATTGATTGTCATGTTGTGAGAGAACAACTCGCCAGGGATTATCAAGACTACCTATCCATATGTGCCAATGTTAATTACTGTTAGGTGTTAGGTAGAGTTAGTTACTGTTAGGTAGAGTTAGTTGTGGAGTTAGTTACAACTTGGGTTAATATTTGTATTAGTTACTAATCAGAGTTAGTGTTTGCTGAGTTAGTTCTGTAAGTATAAAACAGTGTACAAATTACATTTGACTATTGAAGAGAATTACATTTTTCTTTCCCAAACTTCACGGTTCAACAGTTGTTAACACTAAAAATTTTGTTTTTGTAACATTAGCCAACATTAATGAACAAGGTCTAGATTTTTAAGAAGAAAAAAATCAAAGAATTTTCAACCACCATTATATATATATATATATATATATATATATATATAAGGTTAAAAGGAATAAATGAGATACCTGGTGCAACATATCCATATGTGCCAACAAGCTCACTCTAGTTTGACGACTCTTGTTTGAGAAACTTAGCAGTTTCAAAGTCTGAAACATGAGCTTCATATTCTTGATCCAATATCACATTCTTGCTTGATATGTCTTGATGGACAATTGGTGGGCAACAATCATGATGCATGTAAGATGATGCATGTGCTACTCCTTTTATAACATTTATTCTCTTCCTCTAATCTAGTTCTATGACTGCTTTAGTGCTCTTCAAGATGTCGGCCAAGCTAACTCTTTCAAGGTACTAATATACTAAAATTGAATATCGAGAATATGAACAAAAACCATAAAATGTGACGATTTTTTGATGTCGTAACTCTGTTACTGCCTTTATTTCATTGAAGAACTCTTTTCGATTAGATAACTGATCAATATAGGGAGAGTGCATTTTTTTTTTCTGCTTTAACATCCCCCGACGGTAACTCTGCTTTGTAAACAATTCCAGATCCACCTTTTCCAATACAATTCGCAACATCAAAGTTATCAGTTGCCCTTATGGTATCTTCACCTCTTTCTTTTTGTGAGTCTATCTTCTTTCTAAGAAAACTACAGATTCCAATCCCCACAATTAATAAGGCAATTGCTCCAACTACAAAAAGGATAATCTCCCCTTTTCCTAAAACTTGTTTGTTTGGTGTGACGGATTTGCAAGGTTTCAATCCACTAGCATTACCACATAGTCCTTTGTTCCCTGGTAATGTTTCTGCAGAAGCAACTCGGAACACTTTCGTGTTAGGAACTGGACCCTGTAAATCATTATCAGATATGTCAATGCTTGACAAACCATTCATTTCTTGGAAACAATGTGGTATGAAACCAAAGAGATTATTGTGGGAGAGATTTAACTTCTCCACGCTTTCTAGATTGCAGATTTGTGATGATATTTCTCCTCTCAGCAAGTTGTTACTTAAATCGAGCTCAGATAGATGAGTTAAATTCTCCAACTGACCTGGGATTTCTTGGCTAAATTGATTGCTTCCCAAGTTCAAGTAATGAAATTTCAGTAAGGAAGCTAAACTTCTAGGGATTGAGTTACTCAATTTATTTGCGGATAAATCAAGGTACTCAAGTTCGCTAAGCAAGCCAAGTTCAAGAGGCATACCACCAGAAAGCTGATTTCCATTCAATGTCAAGTTAGTTAGAGAAGTCAACTTGCCACGCTCTTTTGGAATCCCTCCAACTAAATGATTCAAAGAAAAAATCAAGTTCATGTAGCTGAAGTGCGTCTCCCATTTCAGGCGTATGCTCCCTGTAATGTGATTTCCTGCAATCTTTAGGGTGCCCAATTGTGGACACTTTGCCCAAGTATATGAGATTTCACCGTAAAATTTATTGTTGCTAAGATCTAATAACTCCATATTAGGATAGATGCCAAAATCTTTAGATATATTTCCATTGAGCTGCATATTTTCAAAGCGGCTCTAACTAGGCTTGTGCAATTTCGTAAGCTTTTTGGGATTGGACCTACAAAATTGTTGTCACGAACAGAAAAGTTTTCTAGTACTCTAGTTTGGCAAATATTTTGCGGCAAAAAGCCAGTGAAATGGTTATCAAACAACAAAAGTTTAACCAACTTCGTCAAATTTCCAATTTCTCGAGGAATGGAACTGAAAGCTCGTTACCATGAAGATAAAAGAATACTAAGTTACTCAGATTCCCAAAAGAACTAGGAACGAAACCAATTAGTCTGTTTAAGCTCAACCCGAGAGTAGAAAGAGATTTTAAGTTTCCTATCTCATGGGGAATGTGATCAGAATGTTTATTGTTTCGAAGAAGCAAAACTTTTATGTTGCTCAAATTACCCAGGGTGGGAGGTATAATGCCAGTAAGTTGATTTTTGCTTAACCATAGATGGGTTGATTCTCAGCTAGATGAAAGACCTCCATATGTAATAAGAGGCCAATTTCCGGTGGGATTTTCCCAGAAAACTGATTATTCGACAAATTAAGGTACTGGAGTTTGGAGAGGTTTCCAATTTGAGGTGGAATGGTACCAAAGAGGTGGTTACTGCTAAGATCAAGATAAGCAAGATGCGGGAACGAAGAGAACAAAAATGAGTGAAGCTTACCGTCTAAGCTTGTATTAATGAGCTGAATACTTTTGATATTTCCCTCATGATTGCAAGAAATTCCTGACCAACCACATGGGCTAATTTCGGTCGCATTTGCAGGAGAAAGGGTCCAGGATAGCAAGAGATAACGGTTCCAGTTTTCAAGACTGGCTTTCCATATGATAAGAGCATGTGCTTCTTCACTAGAATCAGAAGCAACATCGAGTAAAGAATATGACACAGCAAACAGGACCAGCAAGACAAGTTGGAACTCCATTGTTATGTTATTTACTGTGTGGTGAAGATCAACTTTGTGAGTTTTAAACCCACGTTTTAGTTTGAGAAGTCAAAGAAGATGGCCAAGTTCTTCGCTTTATTTACTGAAGCTTCCCTAACATGAACCTGTATAGCTACTTGTTTACCCATTACCATTAGGAAGATTATTTGTTTACCCATTAGTAAAGATTTAGGGGTGCGGTAAAGGATAGAACCAATTCACCTACCCGCTGGTTTTGGGTAAGAACTAAAACTGGCTCCATTAGGATTAAATTCTACTTCTAGAAAAATATAGAAAAGGGAATTCCTGTATCTGGTTCCAAATGTTGGATAGAGAAAATTTAACTCTCTGGATATCCCAATTTTTCATTTAACAAAATGGCCTTGAAAATGTTTTTCATTTTTTTTTAAATTTTTTTGATTAATTTTTTAATTTAGAAAAGCTGACGTGACACAATTAGGATTCATTAAATATGTAAAATGGGTTAAAATAAAAAGATTCAAACATATTGGGCAAAATCATAATTAATGAAAGTTTTTTAAAATTTGAAATTTAAAAATGAGCCCCACCCATTCAAATCGCTTAATCGAAACTGAAAAGGCAAAAATCGATTTCTTGAACCCTAAACCCATTGTCTACGATTTCCGGCGAGTATAGTCCACATTCCTACAAATTTTCACACCAAATTCAATCCTAAAGCTTCATTTCTTAAAACCATGGCTGACATTCACAATGAGGAGGAAAACCCAACGTCACTTCGAATCCTAAAGTCTGGTGGCGCAAGCAGTTCAATGGCTGCTTTGGTGGATTATCCGATCAGTGAAGGTGGTCCATAGGCAGAGGAGACGACGGCGACACAACAATAGAGAGAAGAATCGTAAAACGGTTCTGAAGAGGAGGAGGGCGACGAGGATTCGGCAAGGAGGAGGAGTCCGGCCAGACGAGGAGGAGGAGGCCGGCGAAGAAATGGTACATATTTGTTTTGGGAGTTCTGGTATTGTATTGTATTTTAGTTTGCCATACCAATTCTATGCTTAGCCTTTGTTTGGTGCATGGCTGTGGTGTTTCATGTCACTGATGCTATTAGTTTAGATATGTGATGGTGTACTTCTCGTATACTTCTTGTGGATGAAAAACCATTGGTGGAATTTGAATGATTAAAAGTTTTTTATTCTATCAGTACTTCTATGCGGTTCTGATTAACCTGCCAATTCATATCACAAGTTTGAATTTGTGTGTATGTGATGTTAGTTTGATGGGCAGCTTTCAAGAGACATGATCTAATTTAATCATTCCTTGAAGGAAGTAATATAAGAATTTGATAGGTTTTGTTTCTCTACTTCAATCTTGAATACATGGTTAGAAGAACCTTTTACTTGCTTATTATTAACTGATAATGTTAGATCTTGTGTTTTGTGGTGAGGTTTTACTTTTCTATTGCCCAAAATGGAAACAAGAAATTGTATTTGATTGTTGAAACACTTGCCTGAAATTTTTCAAGAAATTGTTGATTAAATAAGAGAAAGTTGTGTATTGAACTATTGATAGATGGATTAATCAGGGGTCATTTTTATCCTATGATGAAATAAGAGAGTGCAATTGAGTTTTTGAATTCAGTAAATTCATATATCGGTAGGAAGAAATGTATGCAAGTCATGCTATCCGACTGAAAATGTCAACACTTTGCTGTGTACTGTCGCTTAAGCGATTTAGGATCGCTTAAGCGATCATGTCCGAGGTAGAATAAACATTTGCCAGATCTAAGATATAGGATTGCTTAAGTGATCTTGTCCGAGGCAAAATCATCTGCCTAGATCTAAGATCGCTTAAGTGATTTATCGCTTTTACTCTTGGTCGCTCAAATCGCTTAAGCGATCTTAGCCGAGGCAGAATCAACATTTGCCCAGAGTTAAGATAGCTTAAGCGATCTGAAATCGTTTAAGCGACCAAGAGTAAAAGCGATGAATCGCTTAAGCGATTTAGGATCGCTTAAGTGATCATTTCTGGAAAACTCTTGGTCGCTTAAGCGATCATGGTCAAAACAAAATTTTCCTACTTTTCTCATGAATTATGTAATAATCTCTCTTTACAGAGCTAATTTCTAAATTACTGTGATTGTGATACATTTCGATAAATGATACTTTTTCTTTGTTTACAAAGTATGTTGGTAGCCGATTAGTTGTTTTGGTTTAATTTTTTTGCTGATATTTTTTTATATTGATTGTGCAGATTTTTCGGAGCGTAACTATAAAGACTACGGGTTGGACATTGTAAGC